CAAGTAATGGATGTTGTTCTGTTGAAGTCTATATCGGAGAGAAGTGGTAAGATACTATAGATGATTGGATGTGTTTTCTTAAATGTATCATAGCTTGTGTTCTTTTTGGTCAAAACAGTGCGAGCTAGATTTAGTGGATTGGTGGAAACTCTGCAGCAGTAGGAAAAAAGTAGCTGCTATCTTCTAAGCCAAAGAGGCGACTCGTTGGCTTCGGCACAAGCTTTCTACTGGGCTTGATCGAAACGCACCTAGACAACTACGCAGAGCTGCATTTTGTATAGTGTTGAGTCTATCTTTTCAAAGTTTGTTTAGTTTCATTAAGATGAAAATAGAATCTGGATTTATTTTCTAACACATTTTCTTTTTTTAACACATTTATTGAACCGATATATATCGATATTATTCAATGTTACATTTTTTTGATAAAAACTTCAAGACTGAGTCTTGAAGATGAGCTCGCGCTCGAAACGTGTTGACGAATTGATTTTGTCGAATAAAATCGTAAAACATTAAGCCAAGAGTTTAATTTAATTTAATATTTAATTATGTTTCACCAAGAGTTAAGCGAGAATTCAATCTCAGTCATTAAATTCTCTCAGTTATTAAAGTCTCAGTCAACTTTTGGTTGTCAATGAGGTCATATTTAGAGGAAATAGAGTCTGTTCTAGTATGGTCAGGGACATATATGAACCATTCAAATGGTTCAACTCTTTAACCACCCCCCCCCCAACAATATCTGTTATCCTCTATAAATAATAATTAATTTTAGATTTCAAAATTCATAAATTGTTTCCCAGGAACTTTTGATCAAATTCATTAATCTCTAATCCAGAAATTCCTTTTCAAGAATAATTGTTTGCTTTCGCTATTATTTTGTTTCGAATATTTTTCTGTCTCGAATACCATTTTATGATTAACAGAAAACACACAGTTTTATTGTTGGTTAAACTAGTCTCCATAATTGTGGTGTTTGTGTACTAGGAAAACTCGGTACTACTATTAAATGCCATCCACGAGATTCTACCTAGACAAAGTTTACCCGTATCTCTTTACCCTAAGAAGATTGAAAATATCTCCGAAATGGAATGGAAGAAAGGGAGGACGGAGACTTTTGGTCTCGCGCTAATTTAATAATTCTTTAGTTTAGCTTTGAAATCAGGTTGAGCTCAAACTTGAGAATTCATTTCCTCGTGAATTTTCGACATGTACATGTAGGTATTTGCATTCTGCACCTGATCTATATATCTAGATTGAAATATTTTAGCCAATTACGTTAGGTTTACTGGAATATTTGAAATAAAAAACTCGATACTATATGGACAAATTTAAGCAGAAAAATTACTCTTCAGTTTTCATGTGACATTGATTTTCAACCCTATATCAGGTTTCGTCTTAACATACGATTTCAAAAAAATTCGAAAATCTGTTTACTAACTAAAAAAAAGTATAAAACTGAAAATTTTCATTTTCAAGAGTCATCAGGGCATAAAATATTGTTCAAGATTTCTGCATTGGTTTGTTTAATTACTTTACTTCAAGTTTTTCACTGAAAAGAGCTGTAAAAAATTATAACTCATTAGATATATAATAAGAGGGGTTACAGCATGCTTCCCTGTGTAATTCCAACTTTCAACTATCAGTTTTGCTAGTAGGTAAAGGTTTTCTATAATATGCAGATTTCTACCGTAAAACACTCTTTTGAACTTTGAAAGAGTATTTTGAACTTTTCATTTTCTTTTTATACTGTCCGGGTAAAAATATTTTGCATGAATAAATAAAGCCATGTAAATATGGTGTATGTGGAAATGAAAGTATGAGTTTCATCCTGATTTTTTCACGAATATTTAATACATCCATATATGCCTCCTTCGTGTAACTGTCTTCTGGTACTACTATCACATTCATCTTTTTATCTATATCATACTGAATTAGAATTGTGATCTTACTGAATTTTCATCTATATCTTACTAAAATAGAACACAGCTGGAAAAACTTGATGAAACTGACATTTAGAAATGTGTAATACTTGATGTTAAGTTATATATACGACGATATCACAATATATGTCGTCGAACCTATTGGACGAGTGTAAAAGTGGTAGACATGTGAGTTCTCACACTATGCCTTTAGCCCCTAATTAAAAAAACATTTAATGTAATAAACAAAAGTCATATAATTCATAGAAATTAATATATCTTCTGAATAAAAAGTTAATTTCGTTCATTGAAAGGAAATTATATAACGAAAAATATTCTGTTATTCCTAATATAATGCCATTTATTTATTATTATTTATTCAAAGGAACAATAGGAACAAAAACAGATTTCTCAAACACGCGTTAAGAAATTGAAAAATTTTACTTATCCAGTCGAATAAGTTGAAACCTCAATAAGTAACAAGAACTATAATCAAAAAAATGCCACCATATGAAAAAAAAATCTTTTGCGGTTTTAGGTTCTATTGATTTGAAAACAGCCGAAGCCAAATTATTTAATTTGATACGTTTCAAACATCTGAAAACGGAAAAACAGGAAAAAATTCGTCTGAGTCAATGGAATGCTAAAAAGTATTTGGTCGTGAAAAAAAAAGCGATAGGTCATTTGACCATCAAATAAGTAAATAAATACGTAATTACATAAATTTAAAATCAAAGATCGAACATTTCCCTCATTTATTCCGGGGTGAAGGTGATAATATAATGCCAATATGATGAATTTTGTATAGGTATATATATATATATATATATATATATATATATATATATATATATATATATATATATATATATATATATATATATATATATATATAATTATATTTATAAAGATTGAAAGTAGATGCTCTAAGTGGGAACCGTGGGGGACACCTTGAGAATATTACGAAACGGCAACATATGAACATTTACTCAAGTCTTCAAAATTACAACTAGTGTCAATTTCATTAATTAATGAGATAATAATATTTGCTACTTTTAATAACCTAAAAATACGTCTTGAAATATATAAAGTATTAAATATGGGAAAACTTTCTCCTCTTTGAGAACAAAAAATAAAAATAATCCACATGAAAATAACAGATCAGAATTAAAAAATGTCTAAAATTTCTGTAACTTATAATCGTTTATGAAAAAAAAAACCATCAAATTGTCCCAAAATAAGGAGAAAATTTTAATTAATTTCAATTTAAATACAACATAACTACAAAAGGGGTTATAAACACTGAGAATCATCTAATGATGATTAGCCGCTATCAGATCAATAATGTCACCAGTAAGTTTCACATAAATTTCTCTGATACACGAGATATAAATATAAAAATTTCGAATGCGTACCTACATAAAATTAAAACAACATACTACACAATATTAAAAATATATTTGTAGGATTAATATGTTGTCCTTTTTAATAGGCGCATAACTTTTCCATAAAATTTATGACTGGTTAAATTTGAATATTTATAAAGGGACTAGTTTGTTCTCAGTCTACCTGTCCCAAGGTCCATTCTGGGCATATTTCAGCGTGTTCAGAATCCAAGGAATGCCAGCCATGTCTGTACCATATTAATTATCATTTGTTGCTCGGTGATAATATGGATCACCATGAAAACATTGATTTAAAACGCAGGTGATATATACGTGAAAAAAATGCATTCCTCTGATGGAATTTATCGTTTCGATTTCTAGTCCCATACACGAAAATAATATGGAAATTTTGATTCATTCATTCACTGATCCATTGAAGCATTACACAATGCCTTCTAATGGAAATAAAGATAATATTTATATAAATCCTACATGACCTAAAAAAAAAGATATATATTTCATAAAAAATTTTTTTTTTTTTTGTCTGTTTTTGAATGTTTTTATTTATTCCATCAGGTTAAGAAAGGTTTAAATATCGAAAAATAATACTTATGCAGATGTCGTCATTTAGTATTTTGAATATCGATATTTCATGCAAATTCTTCGATTACCAACTTTTCAAACCAACGAAAAGTTTATACCGGATTGAAGAGCCATCTCAACTGAATTTCAAAAAACTGTTCTAACAAAAACTTATTTTCAGTCATACATACGAATTGTATAATACCCACAATAGAGTGGGAAATGGAAAAGCACCAGAATACCAACCCCTTTTTGTACTCGAAATATTTTTCCTAAGATATTCCTTTTTCGAGATTTTCAACTGAAGATACTTGAGAAAATTAACTTCATATTTATATATATATATATATATATATATATATATATATATATTTTGAAAGTTTTTAGCATTAACAGGCTTTTTAATATGAAAAAGTTTATTTCTGTTGACGTTTCGTTGTTATATTACAACTTTGTCAAAACTAATGAATAATTGAATTTATGAGTTACTATGGATATCAAATGTCAAACTTAATTTTTTGAAAAATCAAATTAGTTTTTTTGTATATTCACTTATTGATTTTCATTATCAGAGGAATATTTCTGGCTCAGCATTCGCTTCGGAAGTTTTAGTCTTCTTCATTATCAGAAATATTCCTCTGATAATGAAAATCAATAAGTGAATATACAAAAAAACTAATTTGATTTTTCAAAAAATTAAGTTTGACATTTGATATCCATAGTAACTCATAAATTCAATTATTCATTAGTTTTGACAAAGTTGTAATATAACAACGAAACGTCAACAGAAATAAACTTTTTCATATTAAAAAAGCCTGTTAATGCTAAAAACTTTCAAAATAAATACCTCAAACAGGCAATAAATCAATTTCAAGATATATATATATATATATATATATATATATATATATATATATATATATATATATATATATATATATATATAAAGTGAAGCAATCATTATTCGCGCTAACCACGCACGTACGGATCATAATATGAAAGTATTTTTCATTTTTTTTGTGCAATTTGAAACAGACGACAATCCGAGCGTTCGAAGACAAGCTTGCGAATAAAAAGAGTAATTAGATTCAAGTCGAAATTGCATCTCAAAGTGAAAACCTCGGTAGCTGAGTGGTCAGTGCAGCAGGGCGTGAAACTGAAAGACCTGGGTTCGTATCCCAGTCGAGGTCGAAAAACTTTGAGGTTTTAGGTGTAATTTTTCGAGATGAAAAATACATTTATATATTGATAATTGATGAGGCCGATACATGGAGAAAATTAATAATAATAATAATATTGAGTTTATTCATAGAACTATTTTCAATACAGTACAATAAACTCTCAAATCCACTGAGAAAATCAATTCTTTATAGAGAATAGTTTTCTGTGTGTGGTTTACAGTACACTAACATATTTTCATCTACAGAATAATATAATTGAAAGACACAATCGGGTTATTACATAGTCATAGCCGGTAATATCGTCCGTTTGAGAAATGTCACATCGGGTAGTTTTCGTCACATCAGGTAAGTAACAATTCCATTTAAATCAGTTTGGTATGTTTCATCATATCAAAAGTCACTTTTAAAGAGGTTTGAAAAAGGTTTCAATTCAGAATATTCTCAAAGGTATCACTTTCATATTTCACCCACACTTCACCTTTTTTTTAAACGTCTTGTAATTTTTTATTTTTTTCAGCTCTATTAGCAACAAGGGAAACAGTCGAGGGATATTAATATTGTTTCATTAATATCCATAATAAAACAATATTTAGAATTTTCTCATAATTCAATATAAAATACGCATGACGACGTTTCGAAGTACTACTTCTTTATCAAATGCTGGATTGATACTATGTGTAATTTTACAAAGTCAATACTTCTAGCTATTTTCACAGAACATAGCTGGTATGTTTTTTGGTAAATTTGACAAATTATTTAATTGAACATTGTGAAACTATGGGAAACATGAACAATGCGATTTCTCCATTGTCCTTCTAGGGATAAATGTTAGAGAATCTTGAAATCGACGCCTACATTTATTGAAAGCATGAGATAGTCACTGTTTCGCACTACACGGTACTCATCAGTCACGCCACGTTAAACAAGGAAAGGCAACGATTTCTATCCTTACATACCCTCTCATTGATTGCAAGACAGAAATATAGAGCAAGTCGTATGCATATATGTATAATGCATAGATTAATGTACATCTCAAATCTTAGAATCAATGAAAAGAAATGAATATATCTACATTGAAAGTTTCACACGTCCTCATTAATTAATATACTACATTTTACAACTCTAGTCTTTTGGAACAATTTCATCTAATTTGATGAAGTAGTGCGCCATCTAGGTTGCGGTTGTAGAAACGCTCGCTGTCATTTTTCAAAACATGTCAGAAATTCACTAATAGAAAAATAATTCTGTAGTTCTCGTGCTATATTATCGCACTTGTAGATATTCGTTATCAAAGTACATTATAACTTTCTTTCGATAAATTTTTTGACAAATTATTCAAAAAAACATTATAGGAGAGTTGGCTGTGTGAAACATGAAAAATGCGATGTTTCCATTGTCCTTATAGGGACCAATGTTAGAGAATATTGGAATCTTCATTATCCCTCTAGGAATAAATGTTAGAGAATCTTGAATCTTCTTAGTTTTTATCAAAAGTTTACAACAAACTATTGTTGTGAAGAGCTGTAAACTCTTGATTAAGACTGTAAGAACTATAAACTATAGAGATACTATAATAACTACAAAGATACCAAAAGACACACACCGTTATATTAGATAGCTAGCCAATACTGCTCTGGAACATATATTAGACAGACCAGGAAACCTACAAAACAGGATGAATGGTCACAAATAAGATGTCAAGAACATAACCTCATATATCAGAGGATTTAGTAAAATTTAAACTATCCTCATGGCATCAGACAGACAAAGAAATAAAATGAAGAGAAAATTAGTCTTCAACCGAAATTGTACGTAAACGTGTCGTTTGGGAAGCAACATAATTATTAATTAATTACCATAGATATCAACCTCAAACTTCTTTTTTTGGAAAAAATCAAATTGACTTTTTTTTCTCTTTAGTATTCAGAGTAATATTTATATGTATTAATATTTATCAATCATATTATACATATAATATGATTAATGAAATATTAATTTCTGTTCGAATTTACATGCTGGTCACATAATTGTATCTGGAAGCGATGTAAGAATCATCGAGCTATATATCTCGGAAAACATCTTAAGTCATGAATTTACGTGCAAACATCGAGAATAGCTGGCCGTCGAGCGGAGATCTTCGATAAGTATTGACTTATAAGTGTGTTCTCCAGAGATTTCAAACTTAAGAAATATCCAATACTACCCGACACATCGATGCCAATTCAGATAAGAAACGAGGTTCTAACCGGTGCCTACAAAAAATTTCATTGCCGTTTATATATTCGAAAAGGAAATTTTATAAGTCAAAAAATACAATCATATAAATCAAACTTTTCGCAAAATTTCGAGAATGCAGCTAACAAGGATTTGACAACTGAAGTAAGAATTATTTCAGAACGAAGGCTCTAAGATTATAATGAGAACAATCGAAAGGGGAAAGCCAACTTGAGTATGGAAAAAATGTTATGAGACTGAAAATTGAAATAGACGTCCATAAATTGAAAGTTTAAAAAAATATTGACTTATTATAAGTGGAGTTGAAAAAAAAGACAATTAATTGAAATCTTCAAGAAAGAAAATTTCAAGAGATACCCCTTAAATTACTTAGTCTATCAAATGATTTACTATTTATCATTTTATATGGTAGTTTACCGTTCATTTTAGTTGATTGAGGTGAAAGATACGTGTCAAAATTCCAGGTCAAATTATTAATAAATTGAACGCATTCTAAGAATTTCTAAAATATAATATGTATATTAAACTGAATTAAACTCTTGGTATAATGTTTCACCAAGAGTTTAATTTAATTTAATATTCAATTATGTTTCACCAAGAGTTAAGCGAGAATTCAATCTCAGTCAAAATATTATATATCCTATCCACTACATTACCTTCATCCGGTGGATGAAAATAGAAGGTTTTGAAAAACAGTTCTCCATCCACCTGATGAATATATTTGATACCGAAACAATATTGTAGTTGAAAACATACATGCAATAGTTTTGAAATTCTTATAATGTGTTTGCTTTATTAATCCTTTGTATCTCGATTAAACGGCGATTTTCGCATTTTTCAATAATTTAATTTAGTTAAGAATTTTGTTTAAATGAATAATAATAATAACTTTCTTTATTTCAAACTATCTGATAGTTGCATATTATCAATAACAACCCTCTGAAATGAGTCTGAAATGACGTCAGAAATGAGTTCAATCTTCAACCAAATACATGGTATCTCTATTCCAAATAGTGAATAAATTAGATGAAATCTCTATTCTAAATAGTGAAGTACGGTTCCAATGAGATAAGAATCTTTAACTTTCTTTTTAAATTCGTTCATAGAAACAAATTTTTTTCATGTCATCTAGGAATTTATTGATAAATTGTTATACATCGACACTTTTTGTTGGATATCAGAATAATCAGAACCGAGAGAGAGACGAAGTTACTCTCATCACATATATATATATATATATATATATATATATATATATATATATATATATATATAAAATTAACATATTCATCTTCTGTAACCTACATACGACTTTCGTTTTTCGATGCGATAAAGGTGTTAGGTGTGAATAAATGTCAGTAGAGACCAGGTGCATCCGTTTCAACTTGATACACGGTAATTTGATTGTATAATGACTATTTAATGTGTGGGAGTAGACACACTGTATCAACGCATATAATTTGTTACGGTTAATGATAAATTTGAAACACATACCACCTGAAGAGCAAATTCAGTTTCCATTGCACTAATTATATATATATTCCATTATATATATATATATATATATATATATATATATATATATATATATATATATATATAGATATCCTTCAACTCGAGAGCCTTTTCAAGAATTATTGTGGCTCAAAATAAATGTACCCTTGTCATTTTTGTAAGTCTTATTATATTTAAAAAAAATTGTCATCGCTCTATATGTGTTCCGTAAATATTCTATTTAGAATTAGACGATAGCGAGTGGTTACAAGACTTGGAGTTTTTGAGAGGTGTCATTGAACATTTGCAAAACACTGAATTCATAATTGAAGGGAAAAGATTTTTTTTTTGTATATTTTTGACCTTGACTTATTAGTCATTTAGTCATCATCGTTATTTATTGAATATGTTCACTTATTTACGAATATGCTGCCGAAATTTTCATCGATTGAGACTTTCCAGACTTTTTATTATTAAATAATTTTGTTACAATTTGTCATGAACCTAAATAGAGCTTCGTAAACTTCAATAGTTCCAACACTCATTATTCCCAAAAAATTTATAGGACCTTCTCTAAATTTTGAGTATAATTTATCCAACATGATTTCTCTCTCATTCGTATAAATCGGACATATTAAGAAAATATGTTCTAGTGTTTCAATTTCTCCACATTGGCACAACGGTGACAATTTTATACCTATTTTATGCATATGCTCCGCATATAAACCGTGTGCAGATCGTAGTCTTCCTATGGACACAATGAATTGACGATGTTTATTGATATCATGAAACCATGGTTTCTGCAGTGGTTTGTATCCTACCATGACTTTATATTTCATTCCCTTCCTATCATTGCGAAAATTTTCACACCACTCTTTGAAAATTTGATTTCTGATTGTTTTCGAAAACTCGTATTTGGGACATTTAATCTCAGTTTTATCTGTTATTGTTGTTGCTTTTTTTGCTATAATATCTGATATTGTGTTGCCAGGAATGCCTTTATGTGATCGAGCCCAAAGAAAATGAATTTTCTTTCCCGCTAGTTGTAGATGATACAGTTCTGTTCTCAGTTCTGTAATTAAGTGTGTATTTTTTGATGAAAATCTGAATTTTGTGATGTGTTGTAGTACACTTTGCGAATCTGTTATAATGACGATGTTATTTTCGTCTATCTTGCTGCAATATTTTAGAGCTTCGATAATTGCTATTAATTCGCAGGAAAATATAGAGAAAATAGAAGATATACGTATCATTTGTTCATAATTACCATGTGGATCGTA